TTTTTTTTTTTTTTTTTTCTTGCGGGAGATTAGTGGGTTGTTCTCCTTGTTTTTCTGCCTCTGGCTCAATTTATAATCTGTAGATAAAGTTTACTCCATCTATAGCTTGTGTGGTAGCCACTTACGGGACACTTCCTGAAAGACCAAATAAATTAGCGGCCATTATTTTGGCTGCAGGTCATCCTGGTAGATTGAAGAGTGCAGTTGCTCTTTGCAGGATTTGTGTTGATGCGTCTTTTTCATATCTAGTTTCAAGGTAATTTCTCTAGTTGTTTTTCGTAATTGTCTATAGTCTTTTGTTTCAGCCTATTTGCTTAGTAGTTAGGTGAAAGCTTAATTTGGTCTTAGGCTCCCAAAACCTGCCCCCTGCTACTCTTGCTGTCACTCAGGCCTCTGCAGCCAAGTTAAAGAGCAAAGTTCAGTCCCAAAGCTTGATGGTTAGAATGACTACGATATGCTGGTCTCTCTAGCAAGGTCACAAAAGATCATGATGTGGCTGAAGAATTGCCTCTTTCCTCCTTCGACTTCCCAGTCTGATGGTCTCAGTACCCGCTTGTCTGTGGGCAACCTTTGGCATGAGCCCAAAGCAGAGGTTGAACTCATGCTTCTGAAACCATAATGAGATACCTGAACTGCTCTATCACCGTCTTCTTTTGTCTGCTGCAGTAGTTTATTTTTAATGAGGGGCTGTGTAGTTGTATTAGCAGGTCAGCCACCAAGGATAACTTGTCCAATTAAGTGCACATGAGACACATTTGACTACTTGCATCTCTGAGCTGTGGACTCTCTTTTGACTGAATAACTGTTTGTAAGCATTTTAGTGCCATGGCAAAAAGCAGTGGAAGCAATGGATAGATAGGGCCTGATTTTTAGATTTTGTGTAAATAGGGCATAATTCCACCGGCAGAATGACTTCAAGAGAAGTGAGATCTAAAGCAGGACTCCATACTATTAAATGCCAAAACAATGGATGTATTTTTGTAAGCTGTGGAAACCTTGGCTTTGCTTCTGATCATAAATCAGGTGTGCCGTGTAGCAAAGATACCTACTCTGTTATCTGCCAAAAAGATACTTCCCCCTAGAAATAACAAGAATCCATAAAAAGCTTGCAGGAGCATACAAAGGTCTCTGTAGTAATGCACTAACAATGTGGACTAAGTAGTATTTCGTCCCTACTGGAGTCAGATACTGGATGAGATGGTGCTGTATTCCCAAGTTCATAATGTGTCCTTGTAGGGTAATTTCTCTCTGTAGTTACCTTAGCCAAACTCTTACGTGGCAGGGAAAAGAATGTTTTTGTGTATACCGAGTTATTTGATTGAGTTAAGGGATGGTATCAAAAAGAATATTGCTGTTGCTTTTGGAAAGTGTGAACTTTCCCACATGGGACCCTCGTGTCTCGCTGATTTTTTTTTTAAATTATTATTATTATTATTATTATTTTTATCTAAAAAAAAAAACTTTTTTACATGGTTTGAAAACCAGAAGAGGGAGTATGTGGGGGGGGGGAACTCTTTGTAGAGTAAATACTACAAGTTCACTTCAGCATGGCAGTGCTCGGAAAGGTGGCTACAGTACACCGAGTACTCTGTAAACTGAACGCCTGTATTTAGGCACAGAAACTTCCCGGCAATGTGTTTTTAGCTGTCCTGAAGGGAACTGCTTGAGGAGTGAAAAGATATATTTTGCACCCTTTTGGAGGGGCCTCTGCTCCGAGCTAAAGCTGCAATGAAGGGTTCCAGCAGCAATAACACTTGTTTCCTGCATCACATGTAATGTTGCTCTTTGTTAGCTGCTCTATAGCTCTGGGGGGTAGGAAATGACTTGTGTTGTATCCAAACACCCATATTTCCCGAGCATCCTCTGTTGTAGAAAGAAAAGCATGGTCTTGGGTGATGTTTCATTAAGAAAGAAAGAAAAAGAAAAGAAAAGGCAAGCATGCAAGTTCGGGTGAACGTGTAGGTCAGACAAAAACGTGTAAGAGTCGAAAGCCCACGAGGACAAAGGATTTAGCTTTGTGAGGCAGGAATAAAATGGTAGCAGGTAAACAATGGTCATAAGTAAAAATGGGCTGTTTCTGCATTTAGCAAAAAATCCTTCCCTGACGAGCAGATAGTTCTGTTCAGCATTTTCAGGGTGTGACGTGTTGAGGAGTCCAGTGATCATTAAAATGCAGTAGGGTTTGGGCACCTAACTCCCTAAGTTTTAAAGAATGTATGTTCTTCTTTAAAAATGCCAGGTTTGATGTAGGGTATCACAGTCCTCTGCATTTCAGATTTTATTAAAATCTACTGGGTGACATTTTCAAAAGTATCTTAAAGACACTTGGGCACATCCAGATGAGCGCCCACTTGGTTTGTGGTACTGCAGACAGCACGCACTGCACCTGCACATGTCCACCGTGCTGCTAGTTTGCAGTGCAGCAGGGGTTTTTTTGTTGTTTTTTTTTTTTTTTT